TTGATCACTTCCTTTTTGAAATCTTGATCTAGTAGGCCATCAATGTCTGATTTCCTTGATCATGCTTTCAGGGGATTTCTCTTGATCTTTTAATTGGGAGTGGTTCCTCTGCTTCTTCATATTGCTCGTATCTCTCTGGCACTGTGGCTGGTGGGTGGGTGGATCACTCCCCGTCCTGATGCTGCAGTCAGATACTGCGCTCTGGTGAGGCAGGTGGTCAGATAGTGTCCCCTTCAAGCACCGTGGTCAGGTGCTGTGTTCCTGCCAGAAAGGCGGGTGGCCGCCCACCCTCTCCTGGGGCCAGTTGCTCTGCTGCTCTGTGCAGCTGCCTGCTCGGGTTGGTGCTCTGTAGGCGGGCTCGGGAAAGACCGTGGAACAGCCCCGCCCCTGTTTCATGCCAAATCTCAACTCCTTGTTTGTCTTGGCTGTGCAAGTTCTCTGAGGTGCCAGGGTAGAAAGATCTTATCTGCCTCAGGCTGTAAAGAAGGCTCAGTCCTGCCTAGGAGGTTATGGAGCCCCAGGTGCAGATTTAGGGCTCAGCCTTGCCCCAGCCTGGGCGCTGCACATAGGAGGAGATGGCGGCATTGGCTGAGCCCCGCCTCTCTTCTCGGGAGAAGCACCAGTGATGGCGCGCAGGTCTGAGGAGACAAAGGCTATGGCACCCCCTCCCCCCAGGGCACACCAGCCATGTTGCTTTGCTTTTTTCACAATTTATAGGGTACTGAGGTGATTCTGCTCTGTATCCCCTCCCAGCCACGGTGCATGGCACCCTGCAGTCCCCCAGGGCTGCCTCAGTGCAGCCGTCCCCGTCCTCCACCCGGCTCGGGCAGCCTGGCCCAGCCCCAGCTGCTGGCTTGCGTCTCGGGCTGGGTGTCGTGGGTACCCTTTGTGCCTGTTTAACTTAGTTCTGTCAGTCAAGGGGTGCTCGGGGAAGATGTGAGCCTTGGAGTCTCCCCCTCTGTCCTGCTGGCCTCTCCATTGGAGAGGGGGAGATTCAGCAAATGAGCACTGTTCCTCCTTTGCTGCTCCCTCCCCACGGGACTGGTCCCACACTGTTCTGCTTTTTCTTCTGTCTGTTTTCCTTTTCTCCTACCAGATTTTTGGCATCTTTGTCTTTTGAAGAGGGTGATGTTCTGTCGG